TTTTTGAAGGATTTCTATCAATTTTTCTTTCAAACTCAAACAAAAAATGATAGACCTTCAAATTTTATAGTGCTGTTTAGTAAATTTTATAGAGCCACACATGATTAATTACGGAATGTATAAGAAAATTTGACATATTGATAGTAATTTTTATTTGTGCATCAAAGAATTTCTGCTATTCTAGCATTTTGCACCACGATTGTAGTGCTCGGCACAGTAATTTTTCTTGGACTTTTCTCTCCGTGCAGATAAATCAGAGAGATCGATAAAAATGGGGATTTTCAGGGCAAATAATAATTGATTTCTCAATGAATTCCATAGAGAGCCGAATGCACATCCTTATAATGAACCGGAAATGTTGACTCAGTGCAGAATCGGTCGGCGAGATGCAAAGGTATCTCGTCTTGCAGTGAGTCCCACCCGCAAGCTCTTATAAATGGGTAAAGAGCCCCAGTGGAATGGTTAAAGAGAACGTGGACAGCACCCTAGGTTAGGCTCTGCTGACCTATCGTGACCTTTACAGGGTACCAAGTGACACTGGAGTACTCTTGACGTACTCGTTAGCATCAGACCGGTGTCACTTTTCCCTTGATGGTACTCGAGTGCATGAAAAAAAAATTTCACATTTACGACAGAGTGAGAGAATGACCGTAACTCCAGTACCTCATATACTTCCGGTCAAAAAAAAGGTGAGAGAGGCCGAAGAAACCTCTTGTGGGATCTGCAGTTGTGTGGGATGTTTTGGTATTCAGTTGGTGACTTTATTCAGCCGAGAATTCGGTGAATGGATGGTAAAGAGATAAGGGTACACAGGTTTGACAGACAGAGAGGGGGCAGGAGGTACTAAAAGAAGATGAATGGCCCTTGGAAAGGTTACTTGAAGAATTATTGTTGACGCAAATGAAGGTTACACCTCGTAATTAATATTTTTGTATTAATTTCTATTGTTGTCCGGGTAACAAAAAAATTGTAATCAGAATATTTTTTTCAAATTCTCAAAATATTTCTGGAAAACTTTTCATAAAATTTTTTTTATGAAAAAAAAATCGGACAACAAAACAATTTTTTTTGAGAAAGGTTTTGAAAAATTTTTCAAAAATTTAAATAGGAAAATTTTTTTTATAATTGAGTTGGCGTATTTTTCTAGAATATGAAACAGTATCATTAAAAGAAAAAATGATGGCAAAAATTTCTAGGAAATTATTAAAAAAAATTTTCAAAAGCAAATTTTTGAAAAATTTCTCAAAACATTTCCCAAAAATACAATTGTTTTGTTCTCCAGAAATTTTTTGAAAATTCAGAAAAAATATTCCGGTTACACTTTTATTTTACCCGGGTGAGAGCAAGGTGGTGGACGGGCTATTCTGATTTTTTATTTGTTGCATCCGAAAAGAAAATTGTTTTCTCCTTTTTTTGGGATATTTTTAAAAATTTCATTGTAGAGTTGACATGAAAAAAGGGAGGGACCCCCCTGGTTGTACTTGAATTTCACCTCAGGGTACAAGTGGTTTGTTCCCAAGATACAAGGAAAGGGTAATCATATTCCGCGTTCCACGGTAATGGTGAACGAACACCACGAACCGTGTGCCTTAAGGCTGATAACGGAACTGTCCGCACACTCGTGCCACCCCTCTAGTCTTCTCCCATATGCCGACTAAACTGACAATCTTTGGCAATTATTTACAATCCCGTGATCACCCTGATGGTCTCAATGCACCGTCACGCAGGAACAGGAAATCATTTACTCGTGAAAATGAATCCTATCAAAATAATCTCCTCCTACTAATCCGTGAACCTGCAGATAATACCAACTAAAACAGCAAGTGAATGATGAAAAGTAAGACTTCACGGTTAAGAATCCAGAAAGACGGTCCTGAAAGTGTAAACGTCCCCGTTGTTGGCTCTATCATAACTGACTTTAACGGACCGATTCGGATACCGCTTCTGAAAGTGAAAAATCAGGTGAAAGTTCTTATCACCAATTTTCCAGTTGTCTACGAAAATCCGATCCATCCAAGCAAACGTAAACCCACGAATGACAGCATTTACCGGATTTATCTGCCTAGAGAAATGCCGAAGGAAGAAGGCACTGCGAAGAGGAAAAATAAATGAGAGAAATGAAAAGGAAAAAAAAAACGGTAAAATAAACGAAAATAAATCTTGTATAAGTGCGATGCACCCGTCTACTTCTCAGGTAGGCTCTAATTGATTCGCGAGAAGGTCGGATTGTCAGATAGATGGTGGGTTTTCCTCGGTGGCTCTGCTGTACCTACAGTTCCCTTCTCAGATCCATGGGGCAACTTGGCATTTCTTCGTGTACTTCGCGGCTTGGCTCTAATTGATTCGCGAGAACCCATGGCATACCCTTCTCCTCTGTTGACGAAGAAGTAGAGAGGACGAGGGGTTTTTAATGTTTGAGAGTCTGATGGAACAAGAGGTGGCGACATAAAGTGGTGTATGCACTTGAGTAGGAAGTGCATCCATGAAGTACCTGAGGAGGAGATCCCCTTTTTCGTCATGAGAGGGAGAAAGGCAATGATCAATCCACTATTTTCCAGCGTGCAAGTTGGCACAATGATGCTTGACCGCTAATGCTAGCCAATGGACACACATGTTAAAGGACTATTCAATATACCACCGTAGCACCACCATTCAGCGTCTGTACTGTCAATTACCATAGCAGAGTGAACGCATTTATCTTTTTTATTTTTATTGTTATTTATCGTCGAATCTATCGCCTCTTTTTCCACTCCCCTCCCCTCATACACTCACTACTATTTCGATTAATCGCAGTGACGGCTGCAGCTCCTGGAAGTTACGACTGAACGCCACAGCCGAAGAAGATGAAATGTTACGTCAATTCAAGCTGTTACCGCACCGTTAGTCATTCATTGACCCGGGTAAAAAAAATGTAATCGGAATAGTTTTTCCAAATTTTCAAACATTTTTGGAAGACTTTTCAGAGATTTTTTTTTCATGCAACAGGAAAAAAAACGGTAACAAAATTATTTTTTTTTTTGGGAAAGGTTTTGCCAAATTTTTCAAAAATTCAAGTGGGAATTTTTTTTTATAATTCAGATGGCGTATTTTTTGAGAATATTAAAAAATTTGAAAAGTAAGAAGGCAACAGTATTATTTAAAAAAATTATATTCGCAGAAATTTCTGGAAAATGACAAAAAAAATTTTCCGAAAGAAATTTTTGAAAAATTTTTCAAAACATTTCCTAAAAATAAAATTGTTTTGTCTCCCCATTTTTTTTTGTTTCAAAAAAAAATATCTGAAAAGTCTTCCAGATATTTTTTGAAAATCTGGTAAAAATATTCCGATTAAATTTATTTGATGGAGATATTGACGTGAGATGTCAGGGGAAAATTGAGAGATATGGACGACGGAGAAAGATGAGGGATAATAATG